AGGAAGCAACCCAGCAGTAGGGGCAATCAAGATCCCACATCCACCCAGCAGCCATGGACTAGATGAGTGTCTTCTAGAAACCAGACTCTCCAGCTGGGGGTGACAAGGGGAAAATTAGCGCAAGTCTGAGATAAAGCAAAGATAGAACAAAGAAGGCTAAAGATTCTTTACAAACCCTGTTTGCTCACAGATTCTGGGCCCATGAAGAACTTTATTGAGTCACAAAGCAGAGCAGAAAAGAGCAAAAAGGACCATATTGAAACATCTTCTAATGCAAAATAAAGGTAGCATCAGCTGGAAGACTTGGGGGAAAAGGCCTTTTATATATGTATATGCATATCTACATACATTATGACAAGAAACAAAAGAGATTCTCACAAACTGTGTCCAAGTTGTCCTCAATAAGACAAAGAATTGAGAGAGAATAAAAAAAATATGGCCCCAGTAAAGCAGGAAGACAGAGCCATGAGGAAAACACACCCTAAGACTATAGCAGCAACAGAGAGAGGGATGGTGAGATTATATCCTAATAGCTACAAACTGAAAACAACCCAAATACCCATTGAGAACAGAACAGATAAAAATGAATGGTGGCGGGGCGCCTGGGTGGCTCAGTTGGTTAAGCGACTGCCTTCGGCTCAGGTCATGATCCTGGAGTCCCGGGATCGAGTCCCGCATCGGGCTCCCTGCTCGGCGGGGAGCCTGCTTCTCCCTCTGACCCTCCCCCCTCTCATGTGCTCTCTCATTCTCTCTCTCAAATAAATAAATAAAATCTTTAAAAAAAAAATTAATGGTTGCATATTTATATATGAGGGGATACTATTTATTAATGAAAATGAATCAACTTCAGCTACCCTCAAAAACATGGCTGAGTCTCGCAAATATGTTAAGGAAGAAAGGCTAGGAACAAAAGAATAGATAGGGTGTGACACCCCTCCCCCTGCCCCCCCCCCCCCAAGATGAAGGGAAACACAAACACCATGAAACAATGATAGAAAGCCAGGGTGGTGGTCGTCTTTCAGGAAGAGGCATTTGGAAGGGCCTTGGGGTACTTTGGGGTGCCGGTAATATATAGTCCTTAACCTGGGTGGCCGTTGCATGAGTTTTCACGTTCAAGAATATAACTGTAACTGTGCATTAATACTTTTCTTTATTCTACTTCGACCAAAAAGTGTTTTAAAAAGGAAGGAAGACTACTGAAATAAAACCAGGCTTCAAAGGAACTGAAGCTTTTATCCATAATGAAAATATGCTCTAAAGGTAGTAATAAAAAAAAAAGTTAAAATGACTGCAGACCAAGTAAATCAATGATGTGGAAGACAGACCCGAGAATGAATGCAGAGTGCAGAGAACAATGTGAGAAGAGACATATAATGCAGAAAACAAAGAAGGAAGATCTAGGATTAGCATGGAAGGCATGAAATACCCACACTCAGACATTTCACAGTGGCCGTGAGGGTACTGTGAGGACAGTGGACCCTAACATCATAGACATAACAGAAGGGGGATGACTAGATTATATCCTAACAGCCCCAAACTGGAAACCCGAATATCCGTCCTGGATGGAATGAGTGCAGAAATTGAAGTATATTGACATGCAGTGGATATTCACACTGTATATGAATGAACTTCAGATGGATGCAAATTTAAAGATTACAATAACATCCCAAGATTATTCAATAGAGAGCATTAAGAAAACGGCTTTTACAAAGTTATAATTCACGTCTGATAAAATTCCACATGATACACTCTTTTTAAGTACAAGATACTGCTAATAAATGTTGTATATACAGAAATTCGCTGGGTAGATTGCAAATTCCTTGGGGAACAGGCAGTGAATATTATGCTTCTTTGATTTCCTCCTGTACCCAGAAAGCATTTGGGTAAACATTCCTATAATGAATGAATAAACAGGAATGGACAAATGAATAAATATGAATGAATGAATGAATGAATGGACTGTCTCGACCAATTCATCATTGCTGAGTTTGTTTGTTAGGTGATTTCTGACTCTAATTGGACCAACTCGATGTGGCTTTTTGCATAATTTCCTCCTGAGCTTTGTTTAAAGAGAAGAAATAGAAACTTCCCAGAGTAAATGTCAGCCGGAGAAGGCCTGCATGGTGAGTGGCTCTATGCACACCTGTTCTGGGAGGGTAACCATTCATGGACTGGGGCAAGTTTGGCCTTTACATGAAAGGAAAGGGGCATTTATCCCTGAGCGGGGGGAAACCTGTCCCCGTGGCCATCCCTAAGCAGGGGGCTGCAGCCTCAGTGGGGTAGGGAGGGGGGCGTGGTAAGGGAAGATGGTACCCAACTAATGGATCACAAAGGATGCTTTGATGTCCACCAGTGTCCAACACATCCACTCCCTGTACCACACCATGTGTCCCTGAGGATAAGTGAGTGGCCCCAAACGGGAGGACTTTAGGGCTCAGCTTGTCCTAGAGAACAGCAAACAGGCAAATCCTCGGAAACTTGCCGTCCCCGAGAACCAACCTGTGGTTGGTTTTCAGACCCTGCCTGCTTGCTCTAAACTCAGCGCACATCCGCACAGCCCTGCCCAGGGCCCCAAGATGCTCATCATAAAGCATGAGCAGTCATAACTCAGGGTTCACCTTGGCCAAAAGTAAATAAGTAGAAGGAATCTTCCATCAGAAAATAAATGGCCCTTCTCCAAGCTGAGAGCCTGGATTACCCTCCTGAAGGACAAACACAGTGTCTTCAGCAGCCGGCTTCAGGCCTCAGGCCATAAAGTCTGGCTGGACTCCATCAGTGACCCTGCAGGCCCCCCACTGCTAAGCCTGCCCACCTAGGCTTGAGGGCTGTTAGAATCTCTCCCTGCTCTTCTCGCCTGCCGAGAAGACACCTTTCAGCCTGGCTCAGCTGCCTGAGCGAAACATGCTCCTGAGCTCGGCTGCTCGCCCAACTACACGGAAGGTGGTTCTGCCGGGCACCCTGGGGGGACAAAATCCAGCCCGCAGTCCTCTTGAAAAGCTGCGTGCCCTGGCAGTGGCCCAGATTTCACAGAGAAAAAAGCCGACGACCTGAGGAGAAGTCATCTCTTGATTATTCATGGCGAAGTTGAGGAGGAGGGAGGGAAAGGGAAAGCCAGGATCTGTGAAAGCCACAGGTGATCCCCAAACTTCCTTTGGTTAGTAATGTCAGCCTCTCTAAGAGTTATCCCAAACTAGGGACTTCCTGCCCCATCCTCATGGCCTCTGCTCAGGGAGGCCTTCAGTCCCTCCTGCCGATGACGAAGCCCAGGGACCGACCTACTCAACAAAAACACAAGTGCAAACCCACCCCCAAATCAATGCACCACTTCCCTGATGTCTCCAGAGAGTGGACTCCCCAGGGTGCTGGGAGCCTGGGGCCCCGCCAAACACGCCAGCAGAGCTTTGGTCCTTCTTTCTGGTCACCTCGCTTTGGAGGCAGTCAGGGCTCTACGGCCTCCTGCATCCTGCGTCTGAATGTCCTCTGGCCAACAGAAGGCCAGGAGATCCCAGGGTCCTGCTCTCCTCTCCTGCCACCAGCCTCTGTCCAGACTGCAGTGAGCACCTGCTGGCCCTAAGGAGCCAGGCTCCACCACGCGCTCCTGCTTCCTATAACACCCCCGGCCTCCCCTGTGGACCTCACCCAGCACCCTCCACGGCTCTACCCCTGGCTCGTGTAAACAAGCCAGTCTTTCAGATAAGCAAGCAATCAAACCAGAGGAGAGCAGGAAAAGCTATCAGACGACCCCATCCTCCACTTCCCTCAACTCCTGCCAACTCGGAAGCAAGTGTGGCTTCGTTGGCCCAGAGCTGAATTTCCCCACCTTCTTCTTGTGAGTAACGGCCGTGAGGCTCCCATCTGTGCACAGACACAGCATGCTGGTCAGACCATTCCACTTAAAAGCGAATATGTGGGCCGTCTGGGGAAATTCTGACTTCTCTATTGTTGAAAGCAAATTTCGACTTCATGCTTTAAAACGGTGTTACAAGGAGGGGGCGCCTGGGTGGCTCAGTCGTTGGGCGTCTGCCTTTGGCTCAGTTCATGGTCCTGGGGTCCTGGGATCGAGCCCCGCATCGGGCTCCCTGCACCGCGGGAAGCCTGCTTCTCCCTCTCCCACTCCGCCCCGCCCCCGCCCCACCACTTGTGTTCCCTCTCTCGCTGTTTCTCTCTGTCAAATATATAAATAAAATCTTCTTTAAAAAATAAATAAATAAATAAATAAATAAAATAAAATTGTGTTACAAGGAGCATAACATTCCAGAATACTAGGGAAAACGGATTCTGGCTCGGCCTCAGCAGATGGGGCACCTAGGCAAACATCTGGCTGGATCAACCTAATTCTCTGTTCCAGAAGAAATAAATTCCTTCTTCCTCGTTTTAATGTGGTTGGTTGCTTAATCAGGGGCTTAGGTGACCAATGAGGATACAACAGGGCACCGTCCCAGGATGAATACAGCCATGGTGTGCCCAGGTTTGTTCTCATCCCTAACCCTGCCCTGAACACCCAGGGCTACACTGTGTTACAAAGGAACAGAGGCAATTAAAATAATTGCTGTCCGTTCCCACCTAGACGCGGCTTCCAGATGATTCTGATCTGGGCAGGATTCAAAGCACCACAGCCCCAGGTCAAGAGCGGGGCTTTTCAGCCCTCGCCTCCCCTACAGCTGGGCCCCACGGAAATGACAAAGTGGAAACATGACAACACCACGGATGATAAAGATTCCATAAACTGGAAAACACATTTTGGTAGCTGAAGGCCAGCCCCAAGGTCAGCCTACAAAGAAACCAAGACATTCACCAGAGATTTCTCAGGCTACAGGCTCGGTCCCACACCAAGACGTCATTCGCGCGGACCTGTCCCTGAGCTCTCTCCCGTCGCACCACCGTTAGACTTGGGCCACAACGGGCGGGTGGCCAGAGCCTGGTGCGTTCACCTCAGAGGCACAAGAGCCTCAAAGGCCTCCGTGGGGTGGCTAACCTCCCAGACGGGGCGGGCCCCTTACCGTCCAGCTCCTCCACGGAGATGTTCGCAAGCTGCTCGCTGTCGCTGCCGGCCGACAGGGATCGGTTCAGGTAATTCCCCTTGTACAACAAGCCAGCGGTCACGTGGTGGAAAGGCATCTTTTCCCTGTTCACAAGACAAGCGGGAGTGGGGAGAGAAAAGACATCATCATTCATTCCTTCTGTCCTTCCGGAGAGGGCCACCTTGGTTCCCAGATGGCTGGTGTCATTTTTAACGCAACAATCACATTTCTAGAGGGAAAGTCAGAAAATGCCAGGGTCCTCATGGTCTGAACAGTCCCCAGATGCTCTCGAGTTCCATCGCTTTCTTCGCTTTACACCTGACTTCATTTTACTGACTCAATCATGAATCTTGCAGACTGTGGGATACCCATGTCATCAGCAAGTCCTTTCCATGCAAAAAGGAATCCTCTCTGCTCCTTTCCTGCGCCCGACAAACTCTTTTCTCAGTACTCATCAGGAATGCACATCCCAGAAATGCTGGGCTCCCTGGGGGACTACTGGGCGTCTTAGCTGTGACCGAGCGGAGATCCAAGTGTTCCACTTTTCCCGGGTAAAGCAGATGACCCACTCACACAGCACTTAAATCAGGTAGGAAATGGCAGGCCCTAAGTTAATACACGTACAGCCGGGCGCCTGGGTGGCTCAGTTGGTTAAGCGACTGCCTTCGGCTCAGGTCATGATCCTGGAGCCCCGGGATCGAGTCCCACATCGGGCTCCCTGCTCAGCGGGGGGTCTGCTTCTCCCTCTGACCCTCTTCCCTCTCGTGCTCTGTCTCTCTCATTCTCTCTCTCAAATAAATAAATAAAATCTTTAAAAAAAAAAAATACACGTACAGCCTTCTGCGCCTCAGAGAAGCAGCCCCCAGGCCTGACTGGGATGCAGACACCAGCTAACGGGGCCGGCTTACGAGCACACCCTCTGAGACACCACTCACACCACCTGCCCTGCTGTAAAGGTGAGCGGCACCTCACCTGCCCCAGAACAAAGCAGCTCCCAGCAGCCTCACAGGGAATCAAAGCATCCCTGAGACCAGACCAACAAACCCTCCAGGCAAAGCTCCTCCGTCCAGACACCGGCCCACAGTGTGATGCAGGCTAAGGGAAGAGGGAGGAAAGAGAGTTGGTAAGGACATGGAAAGAGCAAGCACAGCAGAGCTAAAGACAAGGCAGTTAGAACGGTGGGCTCCTCCACAGCAGAGAGAACATGACTCTGTGACAGTGAGTGAGCTGCTGAGCATGTCAGGGAGCATGTTCTGCTTCCCTATCTGGAAACAGGGCTAAGAGGACTGATCAACCTTTGAGTGGAATTAGGGAATAGGTAGGAAGTATGGGGAGTCAATTACAGGCTGTGGGTAGAGAAAACCTCTTAACAGAGCTCCAGGAAGGTGAACCGGGCGGCACCAGAAGGGGTAATCTCCCCGCCACTGGGGGCATTCAAGCAGAGGTGAGGGCCTTCCTGCTAGGGTTCTGTGGGAGAGAAACAACCCCTGAGCTCTCTCCCCACACACCCCTCATTCTCCACATAAGTCACTTGTAGAGTGCTGTTTCTTATCAAGTTTGCATCTGTACGGCAGCCCCAATGGCCCCTCCAGGCACTGAGGGGCTGAGTTACAAGCTATAAATTACAGGAAGACAGCCAGTCTCCGAGGATGACCGTTCAGGACACCCAAACCCTGCTGTCCCTCAAACCACATTCATGACAGCAACTGTCCTAATCGCGGGATGTTGGAGCCAGCAGGCACTGGGGGTGGGCATGGCGGGGGGGGGGGGGGGCTCCTGCCTTCTTTTCCCTGGGACACCACTGAGTGACAAGCCCTGCAGGACCCCGCCTGCCCTCTCTCCCTCTAACCTAGAGCACACACCAGCATGTCCCTACTTGGGCTGAGAGCCCCTGACTTACAAACCAACCGAGACTCCTAGAAGTTACAGGGCTTCATCCAGAACACAAAGCTGGTTAGTAGAGGAATCAGGTCTAGAACACAAGCCTCCTGAGTGCTATTTCGACGAAGCAGCCTCAGCTAAGCACCAGACATTTCCACCGGATGTCAAACTCTCATTTCAAACTCAAGATGTCTAAAAATGAATTAATTATCTTCCCCAAAAAATAGGCCACACTTCCTGATTTCTCTATTTCTATCAAAGGTACTTTTCACTCATCATAACAACTGGGACGTCTCTCATGAATGTTCTGGGCCCCAAAAAGTAAAACAGACACATGGCTGAGGCAAGAGCCAGCAACAGGCTCCACACCACCCTTACCCCTCCCCGGAGAACAAAACGGACATCCATGGGCCCATCACAGACGGCGGGATGCTAGTAACGAAGTACGTCTGCGCTGGCCAATTCATATGGGGAATATCTTCAGCTGATTATAAGTCAGACTTACCCTCCCCCAGCTGCATCTATCTTTACACATAAAATAAAATACAAGAATCTTTTTCTGGACAAACACTTCAATTACCATCTCCTCTTTTCACCAACTTCATTTTCAGGCCAAACATGTTTAAAAGTGAGAATCAGATGTATGAATTAGGACCACCCTCCCTTTTCCTGGGGCCGATCCTGATTTGGGGGGTCCTGGGCTGTGTTTATTTCACAACACTGGCGAATGCTTCCTGTGTGGCTTCAGCTTCCCTCCCAGCACTGCCACTGGACCGATCTGCCTCATCAGCTGTTCTTTTAAACAATGTTTCAGTCCTATAAACATGGGAAGACACTAATTTCACCACCTGGGGATAAGGCCCCCTGAGGTCAGCACACGTGCAGAAAGCATCCCCTTTCCTGGCCGTGGCTCATCATTCTAGTTTCTCCTCGAATTTTATAAACATCTTCCCATTATCAACTTTTCACCTGGTTGTCTGATGCTCTCAAGGTGCCACACAAGTTTTTACAGCCGCAGTAACAAGGTTATACTCGATCGAACATATCCAAGCCACAACCTAGTTCAGCCACAGGATAAATGTCGAGTACTTTGCAAAGAAAACTGGCCACACCTGAAACCCTTTGACATACCAACATAATTTGCTTCTGGAAAAGGCAGCTTACAAAATTAGGGACGCATTCAGTGCATTCAGTCTGCACCCGAAACGCTCCACGTCTAGTGGGAAAGGAAACGGGCAAGCGAACCATACGCATGGATAAATGAAGTCATGTTCAAGAAAGGGAAGAACATCATCCCAAGTAAGCTAAAAACAGCCACTGCAATTAAGGGCTGAATTTCACTCCAAGCCACCTGGGGAAACCCAAGCTTTAAGATTCTCTCTTCGGCTACGGAAAGGAAACACACAAGTTCATCAGCAAAGATAAACACGATCCCGAACTGAAACTTAAAGATGGGTCCTTCTAGGGAGGAAAATGAACAAAATACATTTTTTTTCCAAAGGCAATTTTACTCATTGAGAGATATTATTTATGATTGTTTATCATGTGAATTTTTTTTTTTTTTTGTATTTTCTGTAAGGCAGTGCAGTTTTATGGTAAAGAATCGGAACTTTCTGGTCAAAACCGGTGTTAGACTGAAATTCTAGCTCTTACCCTTATTAGCCAATGTGGGTAAGTTACTTAACCTCTGTCAGCAACGATTTTCTCCTCTTCAAAAATTTTGATACACATTGAACAGTATTTTTGTAAATATGAAATAAGATAACTTATAGAAAGCACTAGATTTAGTGCCAGGCATACTCTCAATAATACCGTCAGTAATATTTGCTAAAGATTATATGAAACAGGATGCAGGGCAAAGAGACCATGGATTCACTGGGTTGAAGATAAAACACACTGGGTTACTTTTTATTTTTAAGATCTTATTTATTTAGGGGCACCTGGGTGGCTCAGTCAGTTGGGTGTCTGCCTTCGGCTCGGGTCATGGCCCCGGGGTCCTGGGATCGAGCCCCACATCGGTCTCCCTGCTCAGCGGGAAGCCTGCTTCTCCCTCTCCCTCTGTGATCTCTCACTTTCGCTCTCAAATAAATAAATAAAAGATTTTATTTATGTGAGATTGAGAGAGAGAGCATGAGCAGGGGGAGCAGCTGAGGGAGAGGGAGAAGCAGACTTCTCCCAGTGCCACATGCTGTCAGCAAGCAGCTCGCTCCATCGGGAAGAAGGAGCTCTTTGAATGGAAAGCACCAGAACTGAAGAGGAGTCTGTTTCCTGGGCACCAGGGAGCCCGGCTTCAGGGTCACCTCAAGGACAAGGTATCAGGAGGCTAAAACAAAAAGGGGGGGAATGGGTGAAACAGGTGAAGGGGATTAAAAGTACACTTATTTTTTTTATTTAATTTCTTTTTTGAGAGAGAGAGAATGAGGCAGGTGGGGGGTGGGGGTGGAAGGGGCAGAGGAAGAAGAATCTTAGGCAGGCTCCACACTGAGCCCGACATGGGGCTCAATCCTGAGATCATGACCTGAGCTGAAACCAGGAGCCAGACCCTTAACCGACTGAGCCCCCCAGATGCCCCAAGAGCGCACTTATCTCAATGAGCACTGAGTAATGTGTAGGGTTGTTGAATCACTGTATTGCACACCTGAAACCAAAGGACACTATATGTTAACTATACTAGAAATAACATTTAAAATAATACACAAATGATCAAATAAATAACGAAAGGGGTGGCTCCTGTGTTTTTAGGGTAAAGGAACTGGCATGTTTCCTGGCAGAGTAATAAACAGAAGACCCCCCACTCACATTTACTTGATGCCCTTCCGAGATGGTTAATTTTCCATGTCAGCTTGACTGGGCCACAGGGTGCCCATGTATTTGCTTAAACATTTTTCTGGGTGTGTCCGTGAGAGTGTTTCTGAACAAATGTGAGATTCACATTTGATTCAGTAGCCTCAGGAAAGCACAGTGCCCTCCCCAAGGTGGATGGGCCTCATCCAATCTGCGGGAGGCCTGAAGAGAACAAAGAAGCAGAAGGAGAAATCCTTCTCTCTGCCTAACTGCGAAGCTGAGACACCATCTTCTCCCACCTTGGGACCTGCACTCAGCCTGGAGCTGAGGCCATTGGCTCTCCTGGATCTCCGGCTTGCCAGCTGCAGATCATGGGACCTCTCAGCCTCCCTAACTGTAGATCATGGGACCTCTCAGCCTCCCTAACTGTGCGAGCCAA